ACGGGCAGGGACACCTTCCACTAGCCCAGCTTGCTCCAACCTGGCCTTGGACACTTCCAGGGATCCAGGGACAGCCACAGCTTCTTTGGGAATTCCATCCTGTTCCCTCCCCACCCTCCCAGCCAGGAATTCCTTCCCAATATCCCATCTAACCCTGCCCTCTGGCAGTGGGAAGCCATTCCCTGTGTCCTGTCCCTCCACCCCTTGTCCCCAGTCCCTCTCCAGCTCTCCTGGAGCCCTTTTAGGCCCTGCCTGGGGCTCTCAGCTCTCCCTGGAGAAGAGAATGTGTATATATAGTTTAGACTTTAATATTTATATAGGGGCAAGTGTCTGGTACAGCAGTGCCCCACACCGCTGTCTCCAAAAACTGCCCTTCCTCAGCAAACCATTCAATCAGTAAAATCAGTGAGGCTTCCATGGTTTAATTTAAAATACCATCTTTTTTTCTGGTGTTAATTAGGAAACTCGGCTATATTGATGTCAATAAATGGCAAATACCAGCTAAAAGCAGGATGAAATTCCTTCTCAGGACAGTCTTGGAGAAGCCTCATCTGTCAGGAGATCTCATTAGTTCTTGCTCGCTCATCTCTGACAAAAACAGCCCAGACCTGCTTTATTTATTTCTCACTTAAAACTATTAATTTAAAAGAAATATCGAGGCTGCCTTTTCTGCCTTACTGTGGAACAAAACAAAAAGAAAAAAAAGGGAAAACACGTGTTTGTTTTGGTTTTTTTTCCCCCTCATGATTCTTTCCCAGTGGTGGCCTTTGCAGCTGAGCTGAATCATCCTCTGAAACCAGGGAATTCAGCCTTGGCTGGGGGCGGCTCGTGCAGGGATCATTCCTGGTTTTCCACACCTCAGGTGTGAGCGCCGGCACGTGTGGAACGGAAACCTGGAAAACAAAGCCCTCAGCGGTGTTTGTCAAACCTCCTGGTCCTTTACATTTGCCACTAAAAAAGGAAACCGAGGAGCTCCTCTCCGAAATTTCTGCTGCTTTCCCTGGGCGTTTTTATCTTGCTGTGAGAGGACCTTGGTGTGACTGAAAGGATTTTTTTCCTCAAAAACAAGAAAAAACACCTCCCAGAGGCAACAGCTGACGGAGCTGGTTTAAAGACTTAGCACCCACGAGCACGAAAAATAATGTCTAAAACCAATTTATTGTCTTTCCTCGGTGATTTTTGAGGGTTCACTTTGAATAATTGTTGTCATGTGACGACAACAACTCTGATCTTCAGAGTTATAGAGAATATATAGAAAGTTTTGTGTCTCAGAAGGTGCTGAGTGGTATCTAAAGAAATGTTTTGTCCCCAGTCCAGGAAGGAATTTGAAAAATAAGAAAAGGAATCCAAACGGATTCTTCCATTTGAGCGGGGACATATGTTTGGTGGGCTGGCACCAGACTGGGATGCAGAATCCTGTAGAACCAACTCCTCGGGCTGTGGGATATTTAGAGGATCAACATCCAGAATAAGGGGCTGGAGAATATGAGGGGGGGGAAAAAAGGAAGGAAAAGGAAGAACTGAGCACCTGAGGAGCAGCCCCAGGGAATTGTGGACAGGGTGGGGTGAGGTCAAAGGTTGGACTCGGTGATCTCAGAGGGCTTTTCCAACCTCTCCGAGTCTGTGGTTCCGGGAATTCCAGCCACTCTGGGCAGTATGGTGGATTCCCTGGGAGCACCAGGGAATGGGGAATGCAGGAGCTGGAGGTGGCTGCAGGGATATGATCCTACTGGCATCACCGAGACTCCTCTGGCTGGAGGGTTGGAGTGGAAGGGTCCAGGCTCTTCAGGAAGGACAGGCAGGGGGATGAGGATGGAGCATCATCCTGTGTGTCCACGAGCAGCTGGAGCACATGGAGCTGCTCCTGGGGATGGACCAGGAGCTGAGCAGGAGCTCAATCCAGGAAGCCCCTGGAATGTGCTGGTGATAATTTCCTTCCCCAAGGAGAGGGGCTCTGCTGGAGCTGGGTCTCACCAGCACAGAGGGACTGAGGGGGGGGGTGGGAAGGGGCTCAAGGGCTGCAGTGGCTGTGAAATGGTGTTCAGGATCCATAGGGATCCATTGGATGGGGCTTGGAGCCAGGCTGGGAGAGCCGGGGGGTTCCCCTGGACAAGAGAAGGCTCCAGGGAGACCTGGGAGCCGCTTCCAGGGCCTAAAGGGGCTCCAGGAGAGCTGGAGAGGGACCTGGGACAAGGGATGGACGGATAGGACACAGGGAATGGCTTTCCACAGCTATCCCAAGATGGGATATTGGGAAGGAGTTCCTGGCTGTGAGGGTGGGGAGGCCCTGTCCCAGGTTGGGCAGAGAAGCTGTGGCTGCCCCTGGATCCCTGGAAGTGTCCAAGGCCAGGTTGGAGCAACCTGGGCCGGTGGAAGGTGTCCCTGCCCATGGCAGGGGCTGGAATGGGATGATCTTTAAGTTCCCCTCCAACCCAAACCATTCTGGGATTCCATGTAATTGTGTCTTTTTTTACATCCGTGTTAAATGACATCCAGGAATCTCTGAATAAGATGATGTGTTTTTAAACAACAGGCATTTTAATTTCCTTGGTAAATTCCCATGAACTGAAGATGAGATCACAGTGACTCCTCCTGGTTGTTGGGATGATGGGCAGGAAATCATATGAAGCACAACTAACGTAACACTGGGGGGCCATTCATCAAAATGAGCAGGTCCCATAAAATTCATAAGATCCCCTTGGAACATGTGGTGGTTAAACACAGAAGGAACTTCTTCCCAAAGCCCTTTGAGAAGGCTTAGAGGTTTTGAGAACAAAATTAATGATACCCTTACAATTATTGCAGTTGTCGTGTGTGAGAGAGAGCAGTGATTAAACCCCATCACAAATAACATCTGCAGTGGGAGCAGAGTTGAAATATCTGCATTTTGGTCGTGCAGTTCACAGAGGGAAAGAAAATATCATCTCTCAACACAAAAGGCAACGTGAGAGTGATTTACTTGCCAGGCAAAAAAAAAAAAAAAAGAAAAAAAGGAAAATGAAGATGTTTTCAGTGGCGCTTAAAAAATCTGGGGAGAATTGGGTCTGATTCGACTTGTTAAGAAAATCCAGTGTTAGGTTTGAAGGGCAGCTGATAGAAAACCTCAGCACTGAATTACGTGTGCAAAGGTGCTTTTGAGGAAAACTGGTCACAGATTTGAACCACCTTGGAGACTCTGGACGTGCTGAGGAAGAGCTGTTTGAAAAGGCGCCGTGAAATGTTTCGTTCCTTCCCCTGCGATTGCTCCCTTTAAAATGACATTTTTTTGACTCCAGTTCCCATTGAATCTTCTGTGCTGAACTTATTAAAGAAACCAGGTGTTGGCTCCCGCTCTGGCTTCTGCCCCAGTTCATTGAGAGACCAGAGAGACCAAAGGAGGGGCAACCAAAGCCGAGCAGGGCCATCAGAAAGTGGGGTTGGTTGGCCCTGACGTTCCGAAGGGTCCTTTCCAACCTCAGTGATTCTCTGATTCCAAGGAATCGCGGGGCGGGGCTGCCCAGACCTGTGGATTTCAAGGCAATCATTTGGAGTTGGTGTTCCCACAGGATTCTTTGGGTTGGGAAAGCCCTCCAGGATGAGGGAGGGCCTGATGCCCACCTTGGCACCAGCCCAGAGCGCCGAGTGCCACGTCCAGTCGTGTCCTGGACCTTAATTCACCGACTTCTGTCTCGGATGGGGTTGTTTAGTGATTTCCAGCACCAGCAGAACTTGTTCACCTCCTGTTTCACAGAGACTCCTGGGAATTCCAGCTGTTCCATGAGCCTTCCATTACTACAAACTCTTTAGTCCGTTCCTCTCCTGCCCCTCAGCCCCGCCTGGAACCTCACCTGAAAATTCCTCATCGCTCCCAGTTCCTCCACAGCAGCTTTTTGGTGCTTTAATTGGGTCATTTTGTATCTGGAATTTCCCCCCCCCTGCTAATCCATCAACTCTCAGCTTGGCAAACCCCAGGGTACAGTGGACATCCAATTTCTCTTTGGATTTTCATTAGGGAAAGAGAGGGAACATAAGCCTGGCATACCCTGGGTAATTTTATTTCAGAGACTGATTGGACAGTTTTTTATCCTACAAGTCTTTTAAATTTTTGGAAGCACTAGGAAGAGCAGAGAGCATCCATTTAGCTGTTCCAGAACTTGCTGCTTTGAGGAAGAAGTTGGTCAGAGAGGTGTTTATTCTCCTGTAACAGGAGTTGGGGGGCATGGATTTGACTTCAGAAGAGACAAACGTGGACAATTCAGATAAAACTTTATCCTCAACTGAGTTGAAATCACTTTTTGCATTGATATGGGCAAACTGCTAAAAACTTGGGGGTTCTGCTGTTACAAATATTTAACTTTTATGGCTTTAAATAGTAAATTGAGAAGCAATAAATTGTCCACAGAACCTGTGATCCCATCACCTTCCCACTTGTGTCCTGACTGTTGGCAATGGGGTGTCCCAGGCCTGCAGACAAATACATGAGTACTTGTGAAATGATAGTTTAAATATATATATATTCAGGCTGAATCATTTTATTTTTTATTGTATTTTTTTCTTTATAAAAGCACCATAACTTGCTCTTATGGTGACATTGTCCTAAAGTTTCACTTGGCTTTTCCAAGCTTAAGGAGGTGCTTTAACTTTCTGTAATCTATTAGTGCTTGTGACACACTTCAACCCTAATTTGTAATTTTATTTAAATTTTAACTGGTGGGGTGATTACTGCTGTGGTTATTTGGGTATAATAACAGTGAAATCCCCAAGTTTTGTATATTTATTAAATATACTAGTGCAGAGTAATTATTGAAGGCCTCCAAGAGTTAAATACCTGTGTTATGGCTCTAGTCCTTGTCTGTTTATTTTTAACAGCAGCTCCTAAATCCACGTGTTGCTCGAAATGCACAGTCTTACTTTGTGCCTGTTTAATAAGTAAATAAATAAAATAAGTAAATAAATATTTTAAACCCCAGTCTGGTCACATCAAACCCGGGTTAAGTCCTGCTTTTGGTGTTGCTCTGCAGATCCTTGCTGACGATGGTGGTCGCTGGAGGCATCAATATTGAAGATTATCTCATTTACAGACAAGATCTTTGAAATCCGGTCCCTTCAGGCAGCAAAGGTAAGGGAAATAATCGAGATTATGCCTTCTTCTAGAAGGAATACCTTAGTTTTTGGCCTCAAAAATAACCAGACTTGAACAGCAGCTGAAGGTTGGGAGCCAATGTTTAACCTCTTTTTTAATAAGTTTATTTATTCTGCTAATGTGAAAAATAAGCTGCGTGGAGGGAGCTCAGATTCTTTTCCTCCTTTTAGTTACAAGAATATGAGTCATTAACTTCTTTTTTTTTTTCTTTTTTGCCTTCATTTAATGGCTTTTCCTTATTCTTCCTTTCTCTCAAGTTTTTTGCCCTGCAGATGAGTTGCAATATCTGTGTGTGTGTGTGATACAGACCCTTGTATGTTAAAACCTGGGGAGTGGCTGAGGAAAAAAGCCCAAAAATTAGGTGGAAAAGAAATAAAATAGGGGTCAATCTCCCGAAAATTCCCGTAGAATTGGAGAAAACTGGCTTTTAAATTCAAAATGAAGGCATGAATCTGACGTATCTTGTGCTGTTTGTTTTCCCTGCTCGTGGTGTTTGTTATCCACGCGTGGACTTCTGGTTTAATTATCATTTTTTCTCTTTTTGAAACTTGCTGTGAACGCTCTGGGCAACCTGGGAAGAGGTTTTTCCCTTCAGCTGTGGGAGTGGAGCTCATTTCCCCCCTCGTTACCCGCCGTTCGTTTGACGCGTGGCAATATCTGATATTCGGCGCCGGGTTTTTGGTGCAGCTCATCCCTCAGCAAACCAATTAAGGCATCAGTTCAGGGGCTAATTGAGCTCCTAATGGGGGTCTTGAATTCGGGAAAAATTCCCATATTTGCTTTTCCCTGCTTTAACAACCAGGCCCAACATGAGGGTCCAGCTGCAGGTTTGAGCTTCCAAAGGCACCAACTCGAGCCGAGGCTTTTCCGAGCGAAGGGTGTGAAATGCTGTTGGATCCCAGGGTGTGGAAATCCAGGAATAAGCTCCTTAATTCCCAAAGCTGGGCTCTGAATGGCTCTTGGCAGTTGGGTATTTGAAGGATATCACTTACACTGTTGTGGCCCAAGTGCTGCTCTTTTCACCTGCAACACAAGGCGGTGAAAACCGATTTAAGGAGCAGGTTTGGTCCGTGTTGGGAACTCAACTTTTGGTCTCATCTGGATCTGCAGGGAAGGGGCTTGTTCTGCTCAGCTTTATCATGTATAGCTTTAGAATATATATATTATATAGAATCTTTATTTTACTTGTTCTGCAGATCTGACTAACATATATATATATTTATAATACATATATATATTATATAGAATCTTTATTTTGCTTGTTCTACAGATCTGACAAATATATATGTATCTTTATAATACATATATAATACATATGTTATATAGAATCTTTATTTTGCTAGTTCTGCAGATCTTTCTAATATATATCTTTATAATACATATATAATACGTATATATAATACATATATATAATCTTTATTTTGCTTGTTCTGCAGATCTATCTTTATAATACATATATAATGAATATATTATATATATATCTTTATTTTGCTTATTCTGCAGCTCTTTCCAATATATATCGTTATAATACATATATAATACATATAATACATATATATAGTCTTTATTCTGCTTCTTCTGCAGATCTTACTGATATATATATCTTTATAATACATTTATTATATATATATAATCTTTATTTTGCTTGATCTGCAGATCTTTCTAATATATATCTTTATAATACATATGTAATACATATATATAATACATATGTATAATCTTTATTTTGCTTGTTCTGCAGCTCTTTCCAATATATATCTTTATAATACACATATAATACATGTATTTATTATATATATATATATAATCTTTATTTTGCTTGTTCTGCAGATCTTTTTAATATATATCTTTATAATACATATATAATACATGTATTTATTATATATATATATATAATCTTTATTTTGCTTGTCCTGCAGATCTTTCTAATATATATCTTTATAATACATATATAATACATACATAAAGAATCTTTATTTTGGTTGTTCTACAGATCTGACAAATATATGTGTGTCTTTATAATACATATATAATACATATGTTATATAGAATCTGTATTTTGCTAGTTCTGCAGATCTTATTAATATATATATCTTTATAATACATATATAATACATGTATTTAATACATACATAGAATCTTTATTTTCCTTGTTCTGCAAATCTAATATATATCTTTATAATACATATATAATGCATATATTATATAGAATCTGTATTTTGCTAGTTCTGCAGATCTTACTGATATATATATCTTTATAATACATATATATAATATATATATAATCTTTATTTTGCTTGTCCTGCAGATCTTTCTAATATATATCTTGATAATATATATAAAATACATATATTTAATACATATATATATATAGAATCTTTATTTTGCTTCTTCTGCATATCTTACTGATATATTTAACTTTATAATACATTTATAATATATATATAATCTTTATTTTGCTAGTTCTGCAGATCTTTCTAATATATATCTTTATAATAAATATATAATACATATATAGAATCTTTATTTTCTTATCCTGCAGATCTTATTAATATATATCTTTATAATGCATATATACTACATATATTGTATATAATCTTTATTTTACTTGTTCTGCAGATCTTTCTAATATATCTTTATAATAAATATATAATACATATATATACTTTATTTTGCTTGTCCTGCAGATCTTACTAATATATATATATCTTTATAATGCATGTATAATACATATATTATATAGAATCTTTATTTTGCTTCTTCTGCAGATCTTTCTAATATATATCTTTATAACACATATATAATACATATATTATATATAATCTTTATTTTGCTTCTTCTGCAGATCTTTCTGTTATATATCTTTATAACACATATATAACACACATATTCTTCATTTTTCAAGCAGTATGACTAGAGGGTTCTTGGAAGTGCTTTGTTAGCCCAGGCAAATTAAGTGTCTCATTTATGTAATGTTTATAAATTAGAGAAAAAAAAATTAGGGCAGTTCTCTCGTCATTTCATTTTCTCTTTGTTTTGGGGAGTTTTTTTCACCTCCAGAAGGGAGATTTTTACATTTAAAAGACAAACACCTCCAAGCTGAGAGAGGTTATTTCTCCTTCTGCCATATTGAGGGCTTTGGGTTTGTTTTGTTGTTACAGCTCCCTTTCAAGGACAGACTTTTCCATATGTTTTTATTTGTTCTAAAATGGGAATCTGCGACATTTGGTGAAGGAAAACCAAATGCTTTTGGGGAATAATCATCAAAAAAACCATTTTTTACCCGTGGAAAAAAAAAAAAAAACGGGGCAGGGAAAGTATTTCTCTCTGTGAGGTTTGTGTTTTACTGGTTACTTCCTCAAAGTTTTAATATGTAAGTGTGGATGAACCTCAGGGAATCCAAGAAAGCATTTAGTTCACGTTCTGGCCATCTCAGCTTGTGTTTTTTCCTCTTTTTGACCACCACTAAAACACTCCCAGCTGGGCAGTGTGGCACTTCCAAACCTGGCTGACCTTGGTTCACCCACGTGGCCCTTGTACCTCACCTTTAATTAGAGGATGACATCCTATTTTCCTCCTTGCATTAAATAAGTGGCATTCCATCTGTGATCTCCTGTCTTTGACTGTTCAGTTTGTGGTTCCAGGTCTTCTGGGCTGCAAAATATCTGGACCTTGCCCTGCAGATGGAATTAAGAATTTGCCTTTTTGCTTTGTTGGACCTTTTAGCAACGGGTTTTATGGAATCACAGAATGGTTTGGGTTGGAAAGGACCTTAAGGATCATCTGATTCCATCTCAGGGGCAGGGACACCATCCACTATTCCAGGTTGCTCCAAGCGCCGTCCAACCTGGCCTTGGACACTTCCAGGGATCCAGGGGCAGCCACAGCTTCTCTGGGCAACCTGTGCCAGGGCCTCCCCACCCTCCCAGGGAGGAATTTTTCCTCATATCCAATCTAAATCTACTCTCTGGCAGTGGGAAGCCATTCCCTGTGTCCTGTCACTCCACAGCCTTGTTTGCTCCATGACTTTCTGAAGTCCCCGTTGTTTTGGAGGAACACTTTCAGTTCTGGGAGCTTTCCTTGCCAGCTCCTTGGCTGGGCTGCTGAGCTTTGTGTCCTTCCTACAGCAGAGGCAGAACTGGGGTACTCACCCCTTGGAGATTCCTTCCAGCCAGGGAAAGAGAGCAGTGATCCTCCAGGAATCAGAAGGATTGTTGGCTTAGGCATCTTTTTTTTGAAGGCCTGGTTTCATTCCTGATCCTCCTTCAGCCATTCTTCCTTAATTCCTTGTTCCTTCAGTGTCTCGTGTCATGGAATCATAGAATCATGGAGTCAGCCGGGTTGGAAAGGACCTCTGGGCAACCTGTGCCAGGGCCTCCCCACTCTCACAGCCAGGAATTCCTTCCCATCTATCCCTCTGGCAGTGGGAAGCCATTCCCTGTGTCCTGTCCCTCCATCCCTTGTCCCCAGTCCCTCTCCAGCTCTTCTGGAGCCCCTTTAGGCCCTGGAAGGGGCTCTCAGCTCTCCCTGGAGCCTTCTCTTCTCCAGGGGAACCCCCCCAGCTCTCCCAGCCTGGCTCCAGAGCAGAGGGGCTCCAGCCCTGGGAGCATCTCCGTGGCCTCCTCTGGCCTCATTCCAACATGTCCATATCCTCCTTGTGTTGGGGACAAACCCAGCATTACCAGAGAAAACTGATTATTCCGACACATAATCTCAGAAATTCCCACATAGCATAATTCCAGGATGTGGGATGTGTCTCTGCTCAAAATTGGGCCCCTCACTGTCCAAACTCCAGAATTTATAGGGCTGTTTAATTCTCCTGAATCCATAATCCAGGCCTGGGCTCTGCACACTCTGTGCTCTACATGGTTTGTCTCACAACTGTGTCATTCCCAACATTTTGGGTTTAGTTATTCCAAGGCAGACAAGGAGCAGGGCCTGTTCCATCATTTTCCCCCCATTTTTCCATCTCCAGG